GTGGGCGCAGGCGTTGGCGCAGGCGTTGGCGCAGGTGTCGGCGCAGGTGTCGGCGCAGGCGTTGGCTTGGGTGCTTCCGTTGTCGGGCTTGGGACCGGCGTCGTCGAGTTGGTGGCCTGCGCGTCCGTCATCGCTGCTACTGCGAGAAGCAGGAGCGAGAGGAAGGCGGATGTTCGTGCCATGATGCGTCGACGACTGCTCGACGCACGGCCAGAGTTCAATTGAGCGCGCACCGACGAAGGTCCTTTGCGCTCCTGAGATCCACATGGGTTCCGCACCCAGCTGGATCTTTCGTGCGCTCTCGACCAATCCCAATGCGGCAATGTCATTTCGCGCGATGCCATTGGTCAGCACCAGGAGACGACGCTGTGCCAAGATTGTCCATCTCGGCGCCGCGTCTGTGTGCCGCCGAGATATGAGCGGCGCGTCATGAACGATCACAGGACCATCCGACTACCAAGCAGGTCCACGCGATGTACGTCTATCCTCCAGGAGGAGCCGGTGCCATCTCTAATACAGTATCGAATCCGCTTATCAAAGGGCAACATGGCCGCGCCTCTGGCCATGGGTGCGGAAACACCGTGTGCCAAGCCTCTCACGCACCGATGCACCGGCGCACACGTGTACGGGAAGTATATGTAGTCTTGTGTAGCAGCAGTCGTTGTACGTCACAGCGTCGGGCGTGGTCGTAAGGCGCAGGTGAGCGGCCGAGGACCGACCTCCACGCAGATTGGTACCACAGTACCATTGGCTTCGTGCGGATCTCATCTATGCAGCGCTCGATGACTTGCGATATATATCGCTCAAGTGAGTGGTATCTCGACTCCTCCGTGATGGCGCCAAGTAGACAACGACATACAGTATACCATCAGTCTGCGCTGCTGGAGCACTGTTGCTGGAGGGAGATCGAGAGGTCATCATCTTTTCTAGTCGCGGTACCAAAGTCTTCGGCTTTACAGTCTTTTGCGTGTCCCATATCGTTGATCTCGAGTAAAATTGTCCTGGTCGTGCGTCGATGCAGGCCGCGTCGACGGTCGCGTGCGACTTTGTCCTTGAAGCTGTGTCGAGCACTGCCGTTCAGCGTCTACCTGTTGGTTAAAGTCCATGCCAATGAAAACATAACTCTGCACAGTTGTATAGAACATGCTTATAACGTGAACGCTCGGTCGTCGCTGGAGCGACCTGAAAGCGCCGAGTCGCGTTCTTCGGACGACCGCGCCGAGAGGAACGAGTCGTTGCTGGGCATCGTGCGGTCTGTCTGCATGGCGGCGGCCGACGAGTCGATGGAAAACTGCCACGGGTTGGTCGACCGCCCCGGCGACGACGCTCGGTACCCGCCGGTGATGTCGCTTGTATACGAGCCGTGGTCGCTGGCCACGTCATCCGGCATGTGCCCGTGGCTGTCGGTACCGCGTGAGTCCCATGTGAAGAAGCTTGTGCCGACGTCGGCTTCGAGCATCGACATGGAGGTCGGTGGTACGTCCGCATACTCGTTGGTGCGGCCGTTGTTGTTGTTGTTGTTGTAGTTGGTACTCTGTGGTTGTTGGTGGAAGACGACGGTGTTGTCGTTGGGGTAGTCAAAGCGGCTTGGACCCGCCGCCTGCGACGACGTGTAGACGTCCGTCGACGGCGCGGGTAGCGCCTTCATCGCATACTCACCGGCGTACGTCGACCGACCAAACTCCGACTTGTACCCGCGGGCGGTCATCATGTCGTCGTCGTCGTCGGTCAAGCGGCGCTGGCGCAAGATGAGGAACGCGACAAGGCCACCGAGGACGGCGACCGCCGCCACGGCACCAACGATGATGATCGTGACAGTCGACGAGTCGCTGTCGCCGCTCGAGGTCGCCGTGCCATTTTTGGTCGCGGACGGTGCTTTCGTCGTCGAGTGCCCGTTGGAGCCGGAGCTGCTGGCCACGATCGGCGCGTCGGTGGGGGCAACGACGACCGGCGCCGGCGTCAACGGCTTTACTGTATTCGTCGTGGTGGGCGGCGTCGTCGCGACCGTCGTTGATGGCTCCGGTGTCTTGGTCGACAATGTCGTCGTTGTTGGCGCGATCGTGGTCGGTGCCACGGTCGTGGGTTCCGGCGCCTTGGTCGTGGGCGAAGGCGTTGGTGCCGGTGTCGGTGCAGGTGTCGGTGCCAGCGTCGTCGGCGGTGGCACGCTCGTCGTCGCGTTGCCGTCGGCGCGCGCCGTCGCAACCAGCACGGTGGCCAGTAGCAGCAGGAGCAGTGGGCGCACCAGCTGCATGTCGCTGTGAGGAAAGAACGCAAATACGCTCTTCGTTCATCTTGATGTCCATGCACCGCCTGTCCCACGACGACCCAGGTGTTGACGCGTGACTTACATCGCAAGTCGAAATACAAAGCATGGCCATACAAACAGCGGCATATTTGAATAAATAGAAAAGAAACACAACCGGCGTCGACGCGGTTGCATTGGTGCTGGTTCGCTCGCGCGTTCGCCAAACGCAGCTGGCGCCGACGATGCAACGACAACCGACTTAGACAGCGCCGAGGTAGACGACGGTATCCCGGTCGCTGAAGCCGTCGCTGGAAATCGACGGGTCGCGCTCGTCGTCGTCGGCGTCGGAGCTCTTGGCCGACAAGAACGAGTCGTTGTTGAGATGCCGCGCGGTTTGCATGAGCGAGCTGTAGCTGCTGCGGTCCTCGGACCCTTGGTAGCCGCCGGTGACGTCGCTGGCGTTGGAGCCCGCGTCGCTCGCCAGCGGGTCTGTCCCGACCGAGTCCCAGTTGTGTGAAACACGCGACTCGAGCATTGCAACCGAGTGGCCCGATTCGGCCGTCGGTCGCACGAACTCGCGCTGCGGCGCCGGGCGCGCGACATTGTCGTTCGGGTAGTCGTAGACATCGGGCAACGGCGCCTTGAACGACGACGCCAAGTACGGTGCCACGAGCGACGACGTCGGCGGCGGCGCAGGACCCGACGCGTAGGTCGCACGACCGTACGTGGCGCGACCATATGTCGTCGAAGCGTACCCGCGGTTGCTTTCCTTGAGATCGTCGTCGTCGTCGCCATTGCCGTTGCGGCGCTGCACGAAGACGAGGAAGCCCACGAGGGCGACGAGCCCAATGACGCCGACCGAGACGCCGACGGCGATGATCGTCGTGCTGGACGAAGAGTCACTGGAGGCGTCGCCTGTCGTGGTACTATTTGTAGAGCGCGGTTCCTTTGTTGTGGACGGCGGCGTCGAGATCGAGTCGTTACTGGGTTCGGTGGTCGCTGCCGTCGGCACCGGGTCCGTGCGGGGTGGGCTGGTAGATGCCGTTGGGCTGGCAGGCGGTGTCGACGGCGATGCAGACGGCGCGGGCGCGTGCGTACTAGGCGCCGGCGGTTGTGGTGTTGCCGCCGACGGAGATGGCGACGGCGGCGGCGACGGCTTTGGCGCATCTGTGTTGGGCGACGGAGCAGGCGACGGACTCGGCTCGGGTGCCTTGGTGCTCGGCGTGGTGCTCGGCGACGGGCTTGGCGTCATGCTTGGCACGGGCGACGGCGCACTGGTCGTCGGTACCGTCGTCGTCACGTTGTTCTGCGCAAGCACGACGGCCGCCACCCAAGCGAGCAGGAGCCACAGCCGCATGTGTGCCAAGTTGTCGGTCAAAGGTAAAGTCCCGCGCGGTAAAAGAGAGGTACAGACAGCATGGTGTAAATTCTTGACAGCTGCTGCATACAAAAACCAAGTCGAATGGCATCCGGCTCTTGTCACGACGGTCTGTCCGTCAGACGTTCGTCGCGCTGGATGTCGTCGGCCAGTTGCGTTCCTAGCACACAGCGCCCGCGCCCAACGTTGAAGGACCTTGCTGACGACGCTGCCGACGACGTTGGCGTCGACGGGATGCCATGTTGGAAAATGGCGCCATTTTCTCTTCCACAAGGTCATCTGACGAAGTCGATTGGAAAGGCCCAAGAATATTGCTTTTGCTCAGTTCGATTCATCGGCCTTCGAACGGCGGAAAGGCGTCTTTTCATTCTGTGCTAGCTCCGTGCTTTGAATCCTGCGTCAAGCTCGTTGGTTCATGTCGAACCATTGGGTGCTTGGCTCCGTTGCCATCTTGGAGCGATGCGTTCGGAGAACTCGAGAACGATATCCAATGGAGAGATCCTCAATTTCTCTGCCTTTCACGATGGAGCACCATCGCGCACGTTCTGTCATTAGCGCGTCGTATTGCGACGGCTTTGCGACCACACGTGCGCTGCACCAATAATAAGGAAAGAGTCGATCGCTGAACCTGTCACGTTCGAGCTCTCTGGGCCTGCCACGTCATGGCCTCGACGGTTTCACTTTGCACTTTCTACAGCTGTAGTCCATCCAACGTCACCACGTTGTCCTATCAACACACGTACCGCCGCATCAGTTGGTACAGGAGACTGCTTCCACTTTAGTCTGCTGCTGTGCACGCTGGCCAGCGTACGTCTTCGCCATGGCGACAATGAAGTAAATGTCACTCAACGCGTAAGATCTTATTGGTCCATTGCGTCCGTGCTTGTGCCGTGGATCGTGTACGAGTTCATGTGACGTCGTCGGTGCCGTAAAAATTCGGTAAACAAATCAATGAGGCTCGGCTGGTCGCCAAGGAACGACAGAACCTCGTGGAGCGGCACGAGTGCTTTCGGGCTACGAAACGACCGGTAGTGCGATTCATACAGAGCCGTCAGCTCGGCGTGCACTTTGGCCTCGTCGTCGATGGAGCCGCAATACATGACGAGCACCTTCTCGATAACGCGCGCGGGCACGACGCCTTCGTTGGCGTACATGGCGATCAAATCAAACACAATATCCTTCATCGTGGTGCCCGTCGAGTTGTTGTTGGTGATGCGCAGCGCCTTGACCGTGCCGATAATGTCCCGCATGTCCACAATGTCCGTGTGCGTCGGGTCAAACGACGAGTACATCAGGTTAAAGTTGGGCACACCAAAGCTTGGGTACTCCTTCATAAAGAGCTCACGGCCTAGGGGGACGTGACACAACACGACTTCTAGAGCTTGTTGTACACTGGTCGCGCGTCATCTCGAACGGGTTGGCCAACGCGTGGCGAATGCCCCACTCAGTGATTTTGTCGAGGAGCAGTGCCAGCTCCTGGAGCATCGGGCGGTTGAATGCGCTGCGTCGAATGCTGTCGATGAGGAAAAAGATCTAGTCGAGACAATTGGACGACCTTGGCCCACTCTTCATTCCATGGAGGACGTACGGTCTTCCAACGCAGCTCGTATTTGCTTTGAACAAGCTTGGTTTCGATTGGCGCAATGCGCGGTGGCCCGAGCGACTTGATGAGCGTGATCTCTCGCAGTGCCTTGGCCGGCACCTTCTCGTGGTGCACGTTCGGGTGGCGCCGTAGCTCGCGCTGCTTCTTGCGCAGCATTTTCTGGAGCTGGTCGCGGCCAAGACGGCGCTGTTCCCGCCCTTGCTCCTGCTCTACACCAACGTAAGTGCTACGTCTTGTACGTGGCCGATCGTCTACCGAGCTCGAGGGCCGCTTTCAAAGAGTCGACTTGCTTCTCCGTGGCCCTGTCCACTCGTAGAAGATGCTCGTCGGCGAAAACAGGCTCGGTAAGGACGCTCTTCTTAGGCGAGACGCCCGAGCTTGTCGCGAGGTGTGTGTTTTGAAAGGCGAGTTTCGGGCCGGTCACAAACGCTGCGTCTTCGGGCCACGTTATGGGCGACCCCGTCAACTTTGGCGCAAATGCATTCTCCGTATGGAACTTGCCGAGCACTTTGAGCGGCGACGGCGCATTGTACTTGGTCGTCGTCAGCGGCGGCACTGTTCCTGCCGTCGTTTCCTGTGCAAGCAGCTGGATCGTGCCCCGGGCGCCATACCTACGCACCGAAGTTTCAAACCCCGCGCACGTTCTGGCGTCGCTACCGCTTAGTTTTGGCCGAGAGGTCGCAAGTCGGCTGGTCGGGCACGTTGTTTCGACCGAGATACCACGGCGTCACATTCGCTATGGTGGTTTCTTTGATGGGCGAGACAACGACGACCGGCGGTGTCGCCAGAAGGCTCGGTGCACTCGCGCTGGAGCTGTAGCAGTTGTAGCCCTCGCGACTCACTCGGAGGCGCGACCGCATCTCGTGGCGGTCTTTTGCAATCGGCGACGGCAAGTACGCCATGCGCTGCTTGAGAAACTTGTCTTCGAACGAGACGTTGTACAAATCCGAGATGCGCTTCGAGTCGCGCGACTGCTGGAGCATCGTCGCATCGCCTTCGGGCAGGCAGATCGTGTCCCGGCACGATCCGTCGAGGATGTGGTCGATGCGCTCGTTCACCGTGATCTTGCGGCTCCGCACCGGCGGCATCATCTTACCTCGTGCCGACGACGGTGCCAGTCCGTCGGTCGCAGTGGCCTGCGCAAAGGTGGTGAGGCGGTTACACCAAAAAGGCGCCGGGCGGTTTTGATTCTACAAGGGACAAGGGCCTTGGCGCTCTGCTGCGAGTGTTGTTTATATCCCAAAGAGTGATGGCAAGTGACCATGAATCAACCCATTGAGCGTGATCCCCCCAAGCGCCGCGTGGTGTGTCGAGACGTGGGTGCTGGCCAAGACCGTAACATTCTCTTGGCCAGCAACGGTGTGACTGAACTACATCGCGTTCCCATCATCCATTCCCGCCAGCAACTCTGTCTTCCTTCCTGGAAATACTGTTTACATTGAGATGAAGAGCACTGAATGAGAAAGGTCTGTTCCAACGGGTGGATCTGCTGTTCTGCAATTCCTCAACAGGAATGACCACAAATCAATTGGGCGTTCGAACGACATGGGCACACCCACGAACCAAAACACGACGGACGACAAGGCGTCGCGTCTGGCGTCGGCACTCTTGACGGCGGCTGACGCACTCCATGAGGTGCAAGATGCCTTGCGCACCGCGCCGGACGACAAGGCGTTAGCGATCGCGCAGCGTTTGAATGCCGCTTTGGAAGAGCTCCGCTTGACGCAGTGGATGATCGACAAACGCAAGCTCCGCGACAAGAACACGCTATTGACGCGACTGCCCGTGCTGGACGACGTCCTCGATAAAGCGCATCGCGAGGTGTCGTCATCGGTGGCAACCTTGACGGACGACGAGGTTGTGGCGCGTGCCAGCGGCGGCGCCGTGCTCTCTGGGCGCCCGCTTGGCTATTCCAACCGCTCCACGTCGATGCAAAAGGTTTTGATGTCGCTACCGATGCCCTGCGTTCTGATGACTACCGCATCAACGACGGCAGTTCTTTCGAGCCACTGGTTTGAGTCTGCGTCGGCCGCCAAGGCGTTTCGCCGACGCGTTGAAGCGCACGGGTGGTCGTCTCTTGACATGCCGGCGCCGTTGCCCGCGGGGAGCGTGACGCGCCTTGTGCATGTGGCCTGCGCCTACGTCCCAACCGCCACACTGGTGATGGAAGTGGATGCAATGCGTCTGTCGTCGGATGCTGAACGCGATGCGCAGTTGATCGTCGATGCTCCTTCGGCACTGGCCTTTCTGATGGCCTACGGGTCGCACGTCCGCGGCGGTCGTTTTGAGCTTGGCGGGATCTTTTGGAAGTCGAGCTCTCTCTCGGTGCATGCTGCGATGCCGATCGACGTGCTGGAACACGTGCTGTCGGAAGCCGAGTTGCAAGACCTCTCGCTTGCGTACAGCGACTTTGCCTACGGCGCCGGTGTCGACGTGTACACGGCACCGGCGTCGGAACACGAGATGTGCGACATCACGACGCGTCTCGAGTGCACGGGACCCATGGCACCCAGTGCCGACATGTTTGCCGAGCGACTGGCTGCGGACAAGGCCACGTGGCGCGTGGTGGATCGACCGGCGTCCATGGTTGGCGTCTGGGTGCTGCTCCGAGCGGCGGGGCAGGCGCGTGCCGCGGACCTTGTGCGCACCGCCTGGCTAGAGCTTGTCGCGCCCCGTCCATCGCCGATCCTGGAGGCGGCGGTGCATGCTGCGCGCCTTGACCAGTGGCTGCACGACCCTGCGTTTGGAAGTGCTTTGGAAGCGCTACCAAGAACATCGCCCTCCCGACTTTGCGATGCGTGTCGTGCAAGCGCAGGAACATGTGGCCACCACCGACGATCCTGACGGTGCGATGCTGCTGGATTTGATGCTGCTACTGCTTCGCTGCGAGTTGGAGCTCGGTATGCGCCTCGTCGGCGACCGCTTGCAGGCACCGAGTCTCGTCGTCGCACTGTGCCGCTTTGTCGAGGCTCACGATATTGCGACGGTTGCCCGACTGGGTGCTCTCTTTGACGATGTGTTGGACGCCCGTTTGGCGTCGGCGTCGGTCGTGCTCGATGCATCGATTCGTGAGCCGTTGCGTCGGGCGGTGGCATTGGCGACGTTGCATGAGGCTAGTGTCACGCAACCGGGCGCGGTTTGGCGCAGTCCCACGGTGCACGTGGACGACGTGCCGACGGCTGGTCTTTTGCTGTTGGCTGCGTTTCAAGCGACTGCCCTGGCCGACACGGAGCTGCTGACGCGTCGGCTCGGCGCAATGCTCTTGCACAATGGTGCCGTGGCTCGCGCGCCGCCGCTGTGGGCGGTTGCAGCGTCGTATGGCTGCGGGAAGGACGGCTTTGTTGACACGCTG